CATTTAGCTCGTCTGTGGCAGCATAGCTTTGTACTAGCCCATGACTGTGAGCCATTGCTATAGGCACCTCATCAAACACACCAAATTTGGACAGGGTGTGATCTGAGAGGTATGTGGCCTTGCCTCATAAGAGTGATATGCCATGGAGCTGCTCAAGATCACCAAGGACAAATGGATTCTTATGTTCTTTGAGAAAAGGGTAGAGATATACATCTAAGCCAGGAAGTATAGCTGAGCAATGTCTTGGTCACTATGAGGAGGGTGGTTGTCAAGGACTGAGCCCTCTCCTGTGTCCAAATTAAAACCTTTATAAGGAGACCAGCAGATAGCTTAATGGTTATGTTGCTGGACTCCCATGTAGTTGACCTCTGTTTGAGTCCCAGACTCGGCAGCTTAAAACTCACACTGGGCATATGTTTGTGCATGCCCAAAATCCCAAGAGGAGAAGGAACTGTAGTCTGGCCATCCTTCCAGGGGGTGATTCCTTGCTTTTTGTCTCTCTGGTGAGTACATGTAGCCTACAGCAAAAATCTCTAAAATAAAACACCTTTTTAAGGGAGAATAATCATTTTAAGATAAAAGAAAATAACAGATTGTAGGGCCAGCAGGTGGTGAGGTAGGTGAGGTAGTTAAGGCGCTGGACTCGCACATGGCCAACCACAGTTGGAGTCCTGGACCTTGTGTCTTGGTTTTTCACCTCCTCCATGACTATAGCGTGTTAAATAATAACAACAATAAAATAAATTGAAAAACATAAAAAAATAATTAAAAAGTAACAAAAGTAAATCCATAGGAAAATAAATTAAGAGTGGCAGGAATGACAAGCAAGTCAAGAAATAGATAATACTGTGCATATTTTCCCTTTTCTTTGCTCTTAACTTCTTTAAAACTACAATACTGTGCCCCCCTCCACCTCCTTTTTCTCTTTGTTGCTCATGCACATGTATGCATGCATACAAAGAGAGCAACAAAGAGAGCAAACAAGTGGAGGGGAAGAGAAAAGGCACTCCCCAACGTGGTCTGTATATATATCACGAGAGAGGTATGTGGCCTTGCCTCATAAGAGTGATATGCCATGGAGCTGCTCAAGATCACCAAGGACAAATGGATTCTTATGTTCTTTGAGAAAAGGGTAGAGATATACATCTAAGCCAGGAAGTATAGCTGAGCAATGTCTTGGTCACTATGAGGAGGGTGGTTGTCAAGGACTGAGCCCTCTCCTGTGTCCAAATTAAAACCTTTATAAGGAGACCAGCAGATAGCTTAATGGTTATGTTGCTGGACTCCCATGTAGTTGACCTCTGTTTGAGTCCCAGACTCGGCAGCTTAAAACTCACACTGGGCATATGTTTGTGCATGCCCAAAATCCCAAGAGGAGAAGGAACTGTAGTCTGGCCATCCTTCCAGGGGGTGATTCCTTGCTTTTTGTCTCTCTGGTGAGTACATGTAGCCTACAGCAAAAATCTCTAAAATAAAACACCTTTTTAAGGGAGAATAATCATTTTAAGATAAAAGAAAATAACAGATTGTAGGGCCAGCAGGTGGTGAGGTAGGTGAGGTAGTTAAGGCGCTGGACTCGCACATGGCCAACCACAGTTGGAGTCCTGGACCTTGTGTCTTGGTTTTTCACCTCCTCCATGACTATAGCGTGTTAAATAATAACAACAATAAAATAAATTGAAAAACATAAAAAAATAATTAAAAAGTAACAAAAGTAAATCCATAGGAAAATAAATTAAGAGTGGCAGGAATGACAAGCAAGTCAAGAAATAGATAATACTGTGCATATTTTCCCTTTTCTTTGCTCTTAACTTCTTTAAAACTACAATACTGTGCCCCCCTCCACCTCCTTTTTCTCTTTGTTGCTCATGCACATGTATGCATGCATACAAAGAGAGCAACAAAGAGAGCAAACAAGTGGAGGGGAAGAGAAAAGGCACTCCCCAACGTGGTCTGTATATATATCACGATCTTTGTTCCTCTAATTCTCCATCCCATCAGAATCCTAGGCATGCGAGTGCATGCTCAGCATGTTTTTCAAGCCTCAAGGGCCAAGGTTTGAACCCTGTTTGGGAACTAGCCTCCTCTGCAAAGCCCTTAATTGCTGGCCCTGAGAATAACAAAGCTATGAGGTCAGCGGGTCGTGTGGGGTTAAGGTGCTAGACTTCCACATGGCTGACCATGGTTTGAGTCCGAGACCTGGTGGCTTGAAAATCATGCCAGCTATATGTGTGGGCATGCCCAAAATCCTGAGAGAAGAATAGAGGAGAGGGACTGCATACACCCATCTCCCCTTGGGTGATTTCTCACTTTTCCTCTCTGTCCAGCCATGTGCCCTACAGAAACTGCTTAAAAAATTTTGTAATATTGCATAAAGCAATAACTAAAATATATTATTAGTTTATAATATACAAAACTGTAATAAACATACAGAACAATAACAGTACAACAGAGGGAAAACAAAACAGGGTTATATTGGAGCAATGTTTATATATTTTATTGGAATTAAATCTATATTAACCTAGAGACGACTGTGATATATGAAGATGCATTCTGTAGTCCGTAGAGATGCTAATAACGTAAAAAAAATAAAAATAAAAAAATTAGTATCAGCATTAACTTGTCACATGTGCTGGCCACACAGCCTCGTGGTTGGAGAGCTGTATTTCACATGGCTGACTATGGTTTAGATCCCAGATCTGGTGGCTTGAAAAACACCTAAGGCTCATGTGCCCCAAATACTGACAAGATAGAGAAATAGAGAAGCTCCCACTAGAGGTGCTTTCTCTCAAGTCTCTGGTGAGTGCATGTTCCTTCTGACAATTAAAAAAAAAGAAAGAAAGAAATCAAAATAGCACAATAAAAACAATTGTTAATACCAAAAAAGCAGAGATTAACAGATAAAAAATGCCATGCTCAAAGAAAAGATTCAAAGATAAACTTTACTTTCAAAGACAAAAAAAGGTTGAAAATAAAAAGAATGAAAAAAAGTATAACATACAGGGACCAGCAGATGGAATAATGATTACGTAGTTGGACTCCCACATAGTCAACTGTGGTTCGAGTCCCAGACCTGGTGGCTTAAAACTGACGCTGTGTGCATATGTGCCCTAAATCCCAAGAGGAGAGGAGAAGGGACTGTGGCGTAGTCATCCCCTTGGAGGATAGTTTCTCGCTTTCTGTCTTTCTTTTAAGTGCATGTACCCTATAGCAAAAATCTAACTCCCCCCAATAAAAACGCAGTATAACATGCATACAGAGTAACCCAAGAAGCTGAAATGGCTATATTAATGTCAGATAAAATGGACTTTAAGGGAAGAAATATTATTAGATATTATGGATTTAATAATGGTTATCCCCTAAAGTTAAATGTTTTGGAATTCAACCTTACTTGGAAGTGACTGAATGTCCCCAGAAATTCTTGTATTGGGACTAAACTGTCTTGTAACTGTGTTAAGTAAAAACTTAATTTTGGGCTAAGTGGTGGTGCGCTGGTTAAGGCAGCTGGATTCCACATGGCCAACTCTATGGTTTGAGTCCCAGACCTGGTGGCTTGAAATACATGTTAGGGAGTGCCCAAAATCCTGAGAAAAGAATGGAGAGGAGAGGGATTATGATATGGCCATCCCCTCTAGTGGGATGAGTTCTCACTTTCTCTCTCTGGTGAGCACACACACCATATAGCAAATTAAAAACAACAACAAAAACTTAATTTCTTCATGGTGTCCCAAATTGGGGCCTTTAAATGTGACAATGTCAGCAAGCAGGGCTTCCATGATAGAGTTCTGGTAGTTTGTATAAGCTGAGGAAAGGAAACCAGAATGGCAGAGACAAAAAGCCACATTGATATAGATCATGTTCTAGTTTGCTAAATGTTCTACTGTGTATCATTTTTTGATGCCTTTGGACATCCAGTCATAAGCACTGTTTACTAAGCATTTATTATTAAAACTCTGAGTCTGCAAAAAAACAAGCAAAAAACCTGATGATTAAGGGAGCTGGATCCCACATGGTAAGGACCCAGTAGCTTAAAAAACACACCAGTGGGGCTGGCAGGTGGCTTGGTGGTTATGGTGCTGGACTCCCACATGGTCGAACGTGGTTTGAATCTCAGACCTGGAGGATTGCTTTCTCACAAACTTTCCCTTTCTCTTTCTCTCTTGTCAAATTTAAAAATACATAAAGCAACTAATAAAAATTCTTAAAAATACAAAAAAACCCACACCAGTGTGTATGAGCATGTGCCCAAAATCCTGGAAGGAGGGAGAAATGGAAGAAGAAGAACTAAGAGAAAGGACTATGGTGTGACTATTCCCTGTGGAAGAGGGAGGGCGCTTTTTCATTTTTCCTGTCTTTCTCTGCCAAACATACAGGCTCACTGGCAAATTAAAAAAAAAAAAGGGGGGGGGGCAGCTAGTGGCATGGTGGTTAAAGCAGCTGGATTCTATATGGCCTACTGTGGGGTTTGAGTCTCAGACCCAGCAGTTTGAAAAACAGACAGAGTATGCATGTGTGCCCAAAATCCCGAGTGAAGAATAGAGGAAGAGATTGTTGGCAAGGCCATCCACCACGGAAGGTGCTTTCTCACTTTTTCTCTCTGGAAGGGCACATTCCTCTAGCAAAATAACTAAAAGGAAAAAAAAATCAAGAAGAAAGAAAAAGTTCCTTTACACAAAACAAACATTTTCTGAAATTTTAACATTCCATTATTTTATTTAAGCAACCATGTCCTTGTGTCTAGATAGACCAAATCATAACACCTAAATACATGAAGTTACCACAGGGTGTTATACAGACTGATGATGCAGATTTAAGCAAGAAAAATAAGATTAAAATGGGAGTTGTTTATGTAGGTATGCCTCGATTCTTTCTAGTTCTGATTTTCAGAAACTGCTAGAAATAGAATAATCTTATATTCAATAATGTTCAGGTGTAGAGAAAATATACACAGAGAAAGAGACTGTCAAGAAGACAGAAAATTCAAGAACATAAAATCCTACCTGCTGAGTTGGATATGATGGGGGTGGACTGTCCACTTTATTTTCCTCTTTACTTGGGCTCCTATTTCCTAGAGCTTTGTCTTCCTTTGGGGCTCCAGGTGGCTCCCCACTACTTTCACCATCTGCTTCATCCTCATCAGCTTCTGAAGAACTACTACTGGTACTGCTTACCTGAGGGGACTTTAAGAGTAGCCTTTTGTAATTTATACTTTTTAGAGCAGAAGAATAACATGAAAGATTATAATGTCAGACAACCACTTAGTGCCAATCACTGTTACTATTAAGAAGCCACTCCCATACCTCATCCTTCAGCGCCATGTTTTCACCACCACCATTCAATTCACTGTGGATTCCATTCATGTTGGCCACCACCTCGGTATCATCATAGTTACTCAATGGATAAATATCGGCAAATTTAGCTGACAATGGTGCAACATCTTCATCATCACTACAACTGAGACAAACAGAAGCTGTCACCATGCGGCATTTAGTTAGGGAGTACAGAAAGCGAACCAACCACTAAGCATAGGCATTCCTTCTCGGAAATCACTGTTTCTGTTTACAAAGAGAATTACAAGTTACACCACTTACATGTCTCAGTAACATGTCTTACACCACTTAACATGTCTTAGTAACCTGAACATGAGAAAAACTCCTAGAACATTAATATTTGTGCTATTTGGAAGAATAGGAGTAGGGGGACACTCCAAAAGTAGAAATATTAAGGAAACATTTTAATTAAATTAAATGGTATTACGTTTTTATCTGATTTCAAATCCTCTGGTCCAAAACTATTCAATCATTCACAACCATACACAATTTCTGATTAAAATCAAAGAGGCATAAAGAACAACTTTCAGCCTTTAGTGTTTACTTTTAAAACCACCATCATTTCAGAAACAGCCAATTAAGCAAAAATTTTAAGGCACTTCCATAACAAAATACGACATTTTATTTATTTTATTTTTTTTATTTTTTTGAGAAGTTTTTGCTATAGGGCGCGTATGATCGCCAGAGAGACAGAGACAGAAAGTTAGAAATCACCACCCAGGGGGGATGGTCACGCTGCAATCCCTTCTCCTCCATTCTCCTCTCGGGGTCTTGGGCACACACACATACGCGCCTGGCATAAGTTTAAGCCACTGGGTCTGGGACTCGAACCGCGGTTGACTACATGGGAGTTCAGCAACATAAGCCATTACACTAACTGCTGGTCCCACAAAATACTACATTTTAAAAACTACACAGACAGCCCTAGTAAAGTCAGTTATAATCTTAATTAAATATTATCTTTTACAAGACATCTAAGAAAAGGGCAAATAAAATATTTACTAAAAAAATTTGAACAGATTGAGCTTATAGAGATAGTTCTTAAAATGTATGAATTTTCTGGTGCCTGAAAAGGGCTGGCAGAGTTCAGGTTCAGTGCAAATGGCTCAAGACATGACTCTAAGTGTCCCAGAGTCCACAGAATCGTGCCACCAAGTCTATCTCTTCAGCTGTGGCACACAATGATCTCCAGAAATGGCACAAATAAACAGGGGTGAAATTTTCCAACTTAAATTTTTCTTGGATTATACATGTTTAACTTCTGCATGTTTCTGTAAAAATCTTCAGAACTGGTAATCTTATATCTTTAGGAGGGTAACAAAGATTACCAACTCAGGTGTTTTCCATTTTTAAGAAAACAAGAATCGACATAGTACATTGTGTTACAACCTGTAACTCACCAACGGGAAGTATAAGTAGTGTAAGCAGGGGAAGGTGCTCAGGTTTCATAGGGACTCAGGCATCTGAGGTGATTGGGCCTATTGTCTCAGTAAATGTTCGCACCCACTCCTGAGGTATCATCACTGCCTCAATTTACAAAAGATGCCAAAGAAGTTCTGAATGAGGTATCTCAGCCATATGCTTCATGTGATTGATGGGAGGACTCATCAGCCCTAGTACCCATAAGACCCAGACAGCTTTGTGATTAAAATTACACCATTCTATTTAACCAATTTAGAAATGGTACCAAGAAAGAGATAACACAAACCAAAGATAATACTAGAGCTTTTCTTTTCTATTTTTTTTTTTCTTTGCGAGGTTTTTGTTATAGGGTGCGTGTGCTCACCAGAAAGACAGAGAGATAGAAAGCGAGAAATCACCCCCCAGGGGGGACTGTCACGCTGCAATCCCTTCTCCTCCATTCTCCTCTCGGGATCTTGGGCACGCACGCACATGCGCCAGCGTGAATTTAAGTCACTGGGTCCAGGACTCGAACCATGGCCGACTACATGGGAGTCCAGTGACATAGCCATTACACTAACTGCTGGTCCCAATACTAGAGCTCTTCAAATCATACCAGTTTACTTTTTTTTTTCTTATTCAGAGAATGCATGAGTGTGTGTGTAGTACCCAATGTGGCCTGGTCATGCTGCAAGCCTTTTCTCCTCCCTTTCTTCATCTTGTCACCACCCAGCTCAGGATTCAAACCACCACTGGCTATGTGGGACCTAACTCCCTAAAAAATTTATATTTGAAATACACTAATCACAAGTTAATGAATGCCCAGAAAACTTAGGATCTCCTTGGCCAGTGGTAGGTAGTCTGAGATATAGGAGAAAGTCTCCCATAGCTAATTTCTTCCACTATTAAACAGAGCAAAAGATCCATAATTGACATCAATAGCTATAACAAATAAACAGGGATGAAATTTTTCCAACTTAAATTTTTCTTCGACTATACATGTTTAATCTTTGTAAGTTTCTGTAAGAAGTCCAACAATAGCTAACTGTGAAACTCTCATTATGCCTTTGGAAAGAGCATAGGCTTTCTAAGGGTATAAAGTAATCTATCAATGAGAAGATGCAGAGTGTAGACCAGTCTCCTTGGTATTATCTTGGCTTGGAGAATGAGTCCAAATGGAGAATTTAAAGACTATGAAGAACAATATCAGGGTCACAGTGAGAAATCCAGATGGAGTAACCACGGTGTGGGAGCAGAGTCAGTAGCTCACTACTCTGCAATGCTGGAGCCACATGGTCAGAATGGGGTTTAGATACCAGATTGACTTGAAATACTCTGGGTGCTAAGTGAGGGGATCATGCATGATAAGATAGGTTGTGGGTTTTCCCTTGCCCCATGAAAGAAATAAAACAAATTTAAAAAAAAAAAAAAAAAAAAGGAAATCGAGTTGGGAGAAGAGTAGCTTCAGGTTTCTCTGTTTATCAGTCAGAAAACCCTGAAAAACACTTGAGTAGTGAACGTCAGGGGCAATCATCCTTCTTACAGGACACCTCCACAAGGCACATCTTTTTATTTTTTTTTTAAAGAGGCTTTTTTTTTCGCTATAGGGCATGTGTGCTCGCCAGAAAGACAGAGAGAGACAGAAAGCGAGAAATCAGCCTCCAGGGAGGATGGCCATGCCGCAATCCCTTCTCTATTCTCCTCTCGGGATCTTGGGCATGCACACACATGTGCCCAGTGTGAGTTTTAAGCCACCAGGTCTGAGACTCGAACTGCAGTCGACTACATGGGAGTCCAGCGACATAGCCATTATGTTAACTGCTAGTCCAAAGGCACATCATTTCTGAACCTCTATAATACATGTAACATCCACCTAAGTTTACTTAAATAATTATGTATGTCCATGTGCCATCAACCCTCTCAGAAGTTAGTATGCAAATCTTCTACAAATGATAGGATCACAACTCTGAAAAAATTTGGGACCAGCCATCTACCATGTGAACTGATGACAGCTACACAGCCACCTTGCTGATACAAAATGCATTTCTAATAACATGGGAATAAAGAAAACAGAAACTTATAAACTGCTTGCTAAAGTGATCATCTGAGTTCTTAGCAAGACATGGAACAAGCATGAACGCTGGGCTAGTGATGAGGCGGGATGGACAGTGGGCTGATCACTCTCCAGAAGAATGAGATATGAGGCCAGAATTGAGAAGACACTTCCCTGCATGCCAACATTTTTTTTTTTCTTTACTGGCATTTATTAATTTACCATTTTTTTCCAGTAATATGATAGTCTCGAAGTTTGGGTTTACTAATTTTATATTTTAAAAGTTGCTTAAAATAATAAAGGGTCTTTTTTCACGAAAAGCACTATAATGATACTCATACTTCTGTAGACATAACTGTCTATATTTTCCATTATTGGATTATTTAAATTTCTGAAACTTCATTACAAAGTCAAAACTTACAAAGTTGGTGCAGAGCCATTGTCTGTGAGGATGAGTCTGGGATGTTGCTGAATTGTAATGGGAGAGCTGGAGCCTGACCCTGAGCTTGCTGATGACACGCTAGGTGGGCGCATCTCAGAGAGATAGTCGGGAGCAGAATCCACTTGGAGTGGTAGCTGGTGAATGTGGATGTCGTCAGTGACGGGGGGGTCCATGATACCACAAGTGAGGATATGTGAGAGACTGCAGTCATCGCAAGCACATCTGATTGGGAATTAAGGACAGCAAAGGTCAGACCATGTTCTCCAAAGGTTGGTTCCAGACCTCTACTGGGTTCAAAGAAGACCCTGTAGGCTCCAATACCCACAGGACAACATCAGCTCACCTTCTCCTGTAGTTGCAGTTGGGACAGTCAGGCATGCTCAGCCGAGATGACAGCACATGCCTCATGGTGTCCGTAAAGTTGTTCTCACCAGTGACAGCTTTCTTATTAGTTAACTAGAGGAAATTATACAGTAATGGTTAAATTTTGTAAGACACTTTCCCCATTATGTATAGCCCATATTTTCCAATTGTCAAAGTAATTTGTATAATGCTCATTTAGAAACTAATAGGCATAGCTTTCTCATGTGGGACAGAACGAGGAAAATAGGAGCAGGAAGTCCACAGCTGCCAGGCCCAGTTGTCAGGACTCTCTAAACACTTTTGGTACACTGTAATATGACCTCCCAGCAGACATCTGGAGACAGGGCTGTAGAAAACACCTGCCCTTACCTCTGTCTGCCATGTGCTTGGTACTTGTTGGCTACTAGGAATTCAGGTACCAGGTGCAAAGATCTGCACAAGGGTGGATCTTGAACTATCTAGGAAGTGGCACCTAAACTTCGAACTGACTAGGAAACATCTTGGAGTTCAAAGGAGAAAGGTGGATCAACTATGGCAATGAGACAGGTGGGAGTTGGAAAGGCCATTTGACAAGAGAGGACACATGCCAAATTGGGAGTAGAGGCAAGCAAGCAAGCTGAAATGCAGGATCAGTCCACATACCCGAGGTGCCTGGAAGAAACCATGGGGGTGCAAATGCTCAAGTAGGTACAGGGCCAAGGCCAGGGAAACAAAAGGGGAGGACAAGGAGGTGGAGTTCACAAAGGAGACTAATAAACAGTCTGAGAAGCAGGAGAAGAGAGATATCAATGTATGGACAAGGTCAAGGGCAGCCAGTTTCCAAATGAAGACAAGTGCTTTAAGACCAATCCTAGGAAAGTCACTGGCAAGTTTTGCCAGAACAGCATTAGTAGATGGTAAAAGTAAGCCTGCGTAAGGAGAGGCTCCACTGGCAAGGAGGAGGAAGTAGGAGACCAGCTCTGCCAGCAGCCAAGCTCAGGGCACTGCCCTAATGTAGTCTGAAGGTCTGTGTAGCTGCATGACCTCAAGCAATAATATCCTTAACTTCAACACTTGCCACCCTCTGTGTGTAAACTGAGAACAGCACCACCAGCCTAGTAGGGGAACCTGGGAACCTAGGACAATGTGGTTTATAAAATTTCCACTACTGTGGAACAAAGGAAGTCAGTCAATTAACATGGGTTTTCATTGAGAAGTATATATAAAATAAGAAAATGGGTATATAAAATTAGTTTATCTTGAGATTATAAAGCACAGCCTTCGACAGTGTTTTGTTTTGTTATGTCAGAGGGCACCAGAAAAAGGGAGGAAGGATGAACGGGGTTGGGGGGCTGGGTGAAAGCACCCCTAACAGGACCAAGGCACACTGCAATCCTTTTTCTTCCAATTCTACCTCCCATCATGATTGTGGACATGTCTGTCAACACCTGCTATAAGCCTCCAGGGCCAGTATATGAACCGTGGTCAGCATCTTCCCCACACAGCTTAACTGCTGTGTCATAGGCCAGCCCTAATGTAATGAAGCTATAAAAGAAACAAAGTGACTATTTTATTCTTAGTCTTAAGAGTCCATTTTAAGATGGCGGGGTGGTTGTTGGGACACTGGACTCTCACATAGCTGACTGGTTTGAGTTTCAGATCTGGTAGCTTGCTTTCTCACTTTCCTTCTCTCTCTGGTCAAATTTAGTAACAGTAGTCATAATCCATAAAATTAAATAAATATTTTTAAAAAGAGTCCACCTTAATAGATTAAACTGTAAAAAAAAAAAAAAAGAAAAAAAAACAGTCTGTAACTTCTCTTTTACTTCACAATTAGTCTCTTTTTTTTGAGAGAGATTTTTGCTATAGGGTACATGTGCTCACTGGAGAGAAAGCGAGAAATCCCGACCCCACCCCCAGAGGGATAGCCACACCACAATCCCTTTTCCTCCATTCTCCTCTTGGGATTTTAGGCATGCACACACATGGGCCCAGCATGAGTTTTAAACCGCTGAGTCCAAGACTAGAACCGCAGTTGAGCGTGGGAGCTCAGCGATGTAACCACTACACAATCTGTTGGTTCCCCACCATAAGTCTTAAAGAAACCTTCTTCACAATAGATAGAGCCTAATGCTTAACAAATGGAAGTTAACATAACAACATTGCTGAGTCTTTACAGATGCCTGGCTATGGAGACAGGGAAGGCAAGAAGCACCACCAGCCCTTCCCATGACAGTTTGAGACAGCTCAAACATTACAAAGTTAAACCTAGCTTATAAACAAGGATCTAAAAATTGTCTTGACTGGGAGTTAGCGTAATGGCTATGTTGCTGGACTTCCACGTAGTCGACCGCGGTTCGCGTCCCGGACCCAGTGGCTTAAAACTCACGCCGGGCGCGTGTGCGTGCGTGCCCAAGATCCCGAGAGGAGAATGGAGGAGAAGGGATTGCGGTGTGACCATCCCCCCTGGGGGGTGATTTCTCGCTTTCTGTCTCTCTCTCTCTCTCTCTCTGTCTGTCTGGTGAGCGCACGTGCCCGATAGCGAAAACCTCTCAAAAAAAAAAAATTGTCTTGACTGACTCCCTTTGCTTCTGCTGCCTTGATAATCACTCCTTATTTTCAAGTCCCTTGCAAAGAATGTAAACCAGTCTTTTCCGGTTGCCCTACATGCCCAGACAGAAGGAAACTGCCCCATAAGCAGTACTGAAAGCCATCCTCTAAAGCTGACAGTCTTTTTACGATACTACAGAAGACAGGTCTCCTCAATGATTTGCCCTTTGTTTCTTCCCCTATGTAAGCTCTGAGTCTTGTCCAGTACAGCTGAGATGGTTATGGACTCCGGTCTTACCATCTCCCTGGCGACGGCCTCACTGAATAAATTCCTTTCCTTATTCATCAAGGTTTTGTATCTTTGCAGTGGGTGGTCCAGACCTGATTTTAGGCCCCTAAATAAGCACCCCTGCCTGTCTGGCATCACTAACAGTGGTTTAACATAGGAGAATGTGGCAATGTGGTCCTCAAATGTTGTTCTGTTCTAAAAGAGCACATTAACATGCAAAAAAGTTAATTCACTGTGAATTAAAAGATTTCTCTTCCTCTTTTATTTTTTAAAATGTTTGCCAGGAGGCCCGCAGATGGAGTGGTGGTTAAAGCACTGGACTCTAACACGGCTGACTAGGGGTTAAATTCCGGTTTTGGCGGCTGGAAAATAACACTATGTGCAGGTACGTGAGTGCCCAAAATGGTGAGAGGAGATAAAAAGGGATTGCTGCGTGGTCATCCCAATCACCAGGCAAAGACAGAGAGATAAAGAGGGAGAAAGCACTCCCCAATGGGGTGTAGCCAAACCATAATCCCTTCTCCTTCATTTCGCCATCTTGTCAGGATTTGGGGCACACATGTGCAGGTACCAACATGTTTTTTAAGCCACTAGGACTAGAATTTGAATGGCAGCCAGTCATCTGGGACCTGGCTTCCTTTAACTATTAGAGAGCTGGTTATTTCCTTTGATTGTCCCTCTTACTGACAAATATTACCTGTTCTTCAATGAATCGCCTTTGTTTAAAAAGCTCCCAGTCTTCTGTTAACATACGCTGTTTGGTTTTCATCGTCATCTAGTAAGGAAATATAAAAAACAAAACAATGAGAAAAACCTAATACCAGCAACAACATAAGATATTTTCAAGGGGAGATATTTTAAAATGATACGTACAAGAAACATCATCTGTAAATAAAATAAAGAAACAATACTATAAATACATGTCCAGGTACTCTATTTCAGTATATTACATGAAAAACAGAGGTAAATTCACATTAAAAAGAACAATTAAGATATTCTACTAAGGGCTAGCCTGTGGAATGGGGGTTAAGGCAATTGGATCTCACATGGCCATTGGTGTGGCTCAAGTTCTGGACCTGGTGGCTTGAAAAACACACCAGACACATGTGGATGCAGGCCCAAAACCCCAAGAAAAGAATGGAGGAGAAGGAACTGTGAAGTGGCTATCTCCCCTGGGGGGATGCCTTCTCATTTTCCCTCTCTCTGGAAAGCATACACACCCTATACCAAATTATTGGGGAAAAAGTCATTAAAAAAAGAGGAAGGTATGAGGCCAGCAGGTGGTATAGTAGTTAAGGCGCTGGACTCAACCAAGGTTCGAGTCCTGGATCCAATGGCTTAAAACTCATACTGGGCACATGTGTGTTCAGACCCAAAATCCCAAGAGGAAAATGAAGAAGAAGGGATTGCTGTGTGGATATCCACTCTGGGAGGTGATCTCTCTCCTTCCCTCTTGCTGTTTCTCTCTGTCTCTCTGGCAAGCACATGTGCCCTATGCCAAAAACCTTACCGAAAAAAAAGATGAATACAACATGCCAGACGAAGGGCTGAGACTTAAGAGAAAACCCCAGAAACGAAGATAAACTGAGACAACGTATATGAAACTTATAACACTGTGTCAAGTGAAATAAATCAGATACAAAGGGACAGATACCGTGTGTCTCCACTTACATGAGGTACTTGAAATACAGATTTATAGAGGCAAAAAGTAGAGAAGTGGTTACCAGGGGTTAAGGTAGGGAAAATGGGGAGTTAAGTGTTTAATGGAAACAGAGGTTCGGTTTAGGATATAAAAAGGTTCTGAAGATGGATAATGGTTAACAGTTACACAACATGTGAATGTTCTTAATGTCATGAATTATACACTTAAAATGACTAAACTGGACCAGTAGCTGGCGTAATGGCTGTCACTGGACTCTCATGTAGTTGACTGTGATTCGAGATCTGGACCCAGTGGCTTAAACTCACACCGGGTGTGTGTGCATGTGTGCCCAAGATCCCGAGAGAATGGAGGAGAAGGGATTGCAGCATGGCCATCCCCCCGGGGGATGATTTCTTGCTTTCTGTCTCTCTTTCTGGTGCCCTATAGCAAACACTTCTCCCCCCACAATAAAAAGGGTAAACTGGTTGGGGTCAGCAGGTGGCACAGTGGTTAAGGCACAGGACTCCCACATGGCCAAGTGCAGTTTGAGTCCCAGACCCGGTGGCTTGAAACTCACACCAGGCACATTTGTGTCCATGTCCAAGGTCCTGGAAAGAGAATGAAGAAGGGATTGTGGCATAGTGATCCCCTCTGGGGGATGATTTCTCACTCTCTCTTTCACTGTCTCTGTCTGTCTCTCTCAGGTGAGTGCATGCGCCTCAAGGCAAAACCTCTATTAAGAAAGAGGGTTCCCAACATGAAGAAGACGTATTTAAGAAGAAAACAAAAGACTTCAAAATAAATGTTCAACTTAAGAAGCTGAACAAAATACAAGTAATAAAGTAGAAGGAAATTAAAGGTAAAAGGAGAAATTATCAAGAAAAAGTGACCAATAACGAGATCAGCAGGTGGCACAATGGTTATATCGCTGGACTCCCACGTAGTCGACCATGGTTCAAAATCTAGACCTGGTGGCTTAAAACTCATGTGTGAGTGCCCTACATCCTGAGGAGAATGGAGGAAAAGGGATTGCAGTGTTGCCATCCAGCAAGAGGGTGATATCTTGCTTTCTGTCTCTCTCTCTCCAGTGAGTTTATCACCCTAAAGCAAAAATCTCTCTTAAAAAAAATAGGTGACCAATAAAACCAAAAGTTCGTTCTCCAAACTTCTTCTAAGACTGAACAAGGGGGAAAAAGTAACAAAAAACACTAGGGATGATAAAGACAAAGATATATATGAAGGAGATTTTTAAAACTAGGAGAAAAAAATACCTGTATTACAAATTTAAACTCTGTAATATCTAAAGAAGAGTTGAAAACAGGTGGCTCATGGACTATTTTGTTGGACCTATACAATGTTTTTTAAAAGTTGAGTTGAGGGTTAGCAGGTGAGATGGTGGTCAAGGCACTGGAGTCATTACACCATCTCCTGGTCCCAGGATTGTTAACCTCTTAACTCATATAAAAAATAGGTATCTCACGACTTCCCCCTAACCTCTGCACTCATAGTAAACCACCACACATAGCTGTCATGGGATATTCTCCATATGTAACCCACTCACTGTTTTACTGTAGTATGATTCACACATAACGGACTACTTATTATAGTTCTGCCTTTTTGAAACAATACACACACACACACACACACACACACAATATTTATGATTACAAAATAGAGGGGCCAGTAGGTTGCACAGTGGTTAAGGCACTGGACTCCCACATGGCTGACCATAGTTCAAGTCCTAGAGCTGGCAGCCTGCTTTCTCATTCCCTACCACTTTCCCCTTTTCACCACTCTCTCTCTCTCTGGTAAGCACCCATGCCTTATAGCAAATTAAATAATGATAATAATAATAATAGTAATAAATTTAAGTAAATAATTCTTTTTAAAACTAGAATAGAAAGTTTCAAATAAAACTAAAACATCATGTGATACGATTTTTTTATGTCACAGGTTATAGATTGAGATCCAAGGAGGGGTAAGACTTGAGTAAGTTCAAAAGGTAATCCTCCATGGGACCCAAGTCAAGATCCCAAGGGTGTGGCAACCTCAGCACACCACTCTACCCCACACTGCCACAGCTCAGGGGAGCCTCTGCTTGAGCTGCATGTTTCCCAGAGCCAATAGCTACAGCTGATCTCTACCACTGTGGCACCTTCTCATCTCTCAGCTTTTCTCCCTCTACTACCAAAATAGCAAACTCCAGAAAACGGCTGGTGTGCATGCAGGAGGCAGAGGGTAGGTCAGCTGTCGGTGCCTTTTCTACTATCTTGCTTCTGTATGACCCAGCTGATAGTTACTTGAACAAGCAAGGCTTCACAAGATTGAGGCTGCATGGGCGCCACTGCCAACTGGAGGCTCTGTCCCTGCTGCCCTCTCATCCAGCTACCTTTACCAAGGTAAGCCCCTGGCATAGCTTTAAAATCCCCTGACCTTGCTCCAGTGTCTGCCAAACTGAAAGCTGCATAGCAGCTCAGGAATAATCCTGCCCCCAGAGCAGATTGAGCTAAGAAGTGACTAGTCAGTGACAAGCTATGGCTGGACACAAAGTCTCTTCTTGCAAAAACAGATAAAAACCGGAATTAGAGATACTCTCACTTTGAAAAAAATGCAAAGCAATGACTCTTCTCTGAGGCCCTACTAGGAGCCACAGGACCAGGAAGAGTGTTATAAGAGCTGAGTGACCTCTGCAAGCCTCCAACTCCCCATAATATGCCACATGCACAGCAAGAGAAGAGGCCAGGAGCATTATCTCCTGCTCTGAGACAAGCTCAACAGCACAAACTCCCATAATGTGACAAAGTTGGAACTTACTCCACTGATACAAATGAGATGAAAGGCAGTACAATACAGAAGAATATAGTAAGAGACATCTTCCCCAGTACTAACTAGAACCCATTTGTAGCTACTATGTCCAGGACTGTGTTGAGAGAACTGCTATATAAAACATGGCCTGAGATTCATAACTCGGCATAATGGTTCATGTGAGGCAATGAACACATACCAACCTCTTTCTTCCCAATCTCTTGCTCAGACAAAATGCCAGCACAAGACACAGGTGATGTCCAAGTGGTATACACAAGACCAGCACATACCTTATGCTAGAAACAAGGTTCTATTTTCCTACAAATAGTCTCAAATGATAATACAGAGCTCTGTCATTTCGCCTTTATTACTTCTTATTCTATTGTCACCTTTTATTATTATAGTTACTTATTCTTAGATTTTTTATTTAGGGCACATGCACTTGCCAGAAACAGAGAGACAGACAGAGACATAGAGAAGGATGGCCATGCCACAAATCTTTTTCCTCCATTATCCTTTAGGGATTTAGGGCTCACGCACATGTGTGTGGCATGAGTTTCATGCCACCAGGTCCGGGACTTGAACTACAGTGTGGGGAGGCCAGCGCCTTAACCACGATAACACCGGCTGGCCCCTCCATTTTCATCTTTAAAATAGGACCACTGTGAATGCCTTCCTTGCCTGACCCTCCTAGAGGTTCTAGAAAGGCAGGCCAGCCAAGAGGGGACACCATCGCCAAGCCCTGCTGGTAACACCTCCTCCGAAAGGCTTGGGCTGCCCAATGCTCTCTTCAGGTCCACTTCCAATTGTTGTGCCTTTTATCCTCTTTTCTCTTTCTCCTTACAAGCTATCTATGTCCATGTCTGCACTCGTTTTCTAGAAGCTTGCAACAGTTGGGCGCTGAAGATCAGGCTGTTCAGTAAATGGCTCCTGGCTTAATGGGTCCCCAAGGCGTGGGGCTCCTTTGTGGAAATACAGAGCTAGAATGGCAACATGTATAAATGACGTGGGTGTGCCCAGGCTAAGGTGGACCTGACCAATTGCTGCCACCACACCCCAAGTATAGTCAGGCCACAAAGTTTCCTACATCCTGAAAAATCAGCAGCTGATACATCCAGTCTACTTGGTTCACCAGAGACCTCTCCCAGGAACCCTTACTCATACCTAAGTACTAACTACAACACTGGTTCACACGTCTTCAGCATGGCAGGTCTCAATAGTGCAAGTGGCCTCTGGGCAGCACTTACCTGTTCGTCCACATAAGCATCAATCCTCTTCTGGCACTCTAGCCATTCCTCAGCAACTTTGCGTAGTTCTTCTTCAGAGCGCTGGTACCGCTGTAACAAGGTACTGTATGTGTCCTCATTGCAGGTGTCATGTGTGGTGGTTCCTAGCCTAGGAGGGAAAAGGTCTTGTAACAAAAGAAGGAGCCAAAGGCTCTGAGTCAGATGCCAGGCATTTTGTTTCCAGCTACTACTGTCCAGTTTTGTCACCTTACTTTCCAACATGAAAAATAGAGATGCCACCACACACCACAGCAGGGTTGCCACAAGGGATGAACAGATTACAACTGCAAGGCACCCAAAATAGGCTAGTATGAAGGAGATGTGCAAATGAATAACAGCTACTAAAAAATATCAGCAGTGAATACAATGTTCAAAAAAGATTAAGTCCTAGTGTTTCAGCTTACTAGTGGGTTGTTGAAAAAGTCATGCCGCATTTTTGACTAGAGAAACACAGAAAAATACAACATGACTTTTCCAATGACCCAGTAAATATGAGACTATTTTTCCCTATTACACTACTGACATGAAAAGTAATTTAGAAAAGCAAAAAAATTAAATGAGAAATGGTTTTCAAATAAAGTAAAAGAGAAAATCTGAGTCAACTGAAAAAATGTAATTATGTTTTTTTCTCTCTTTTTTTGGGGGGGGGTCATAGGGCATGTGTGCTCACCAAAGACAGAGAGATAAACTGACAAATCACCCCTCAGGGGGATGGCCACGCTGCAAACCTTTCTCCTCCATTCTCCTCTCAGGATTTTAGGCAGGCACACACACATACCCTGTGTGATTTTCAAACTGCTGGGTCCAGGATTTGAACTGTGGCTTTGACCAGGTGGGATCCAGTGCCTTAACCTCCATGCCACCTGCTGGCCCAAAATATAATTACAGTTTTATATAGTCTATATTGTTGTTGTTGTTATGCTTATTATTATTTTGCCATAGGGTGCATCTGTTTGCCAGAGAGAGACAGACAGTGAAAGGTAAAGTGAGAAATCACCCACTAGGGGGATGGCCATACCACAATCTCTTTTCTTCCATTCTCTTCTTGGGATTTTGGGCATGCATGCACATATGCCCGGTGTGTTTAAAGCCAATGGGTCTGGGACTCTTAACTACAGTCAGTCATGTGGGACCAGTCATGTCCAGAGCCTTAACTACCATGCCACCTGCTGGTTCCTTGTCTATATTATATTAAAAAAAAGATGGTAAGAGAGGAAATGAGAAAATAAATAGAAAACAAAAGACACACATAGGTGGACAGTGAAGAAAACACCTAGATTTCTGGAAAAACAAAAAGAAAAAGGATAGTGGGCAAAAGAGTAACTTGGGACTAAGGCAAGGTCTGGGATTTGATAGGAGAAGAGGTAGTGGGGGAGAGGACAAAGAGAGATGTGGAGACACATGTAAGCTATCAGAAAAAAGCTCACTTTCTTAATATGTAAGTATATTAATATATGAACCAAAATAATAGGAATAACACCTTGAAAAGCATTATTCAAAACCAAGATCACATTTATAATATATGAAGAGCACAAAAAATATGTGAAGGGTTAAAAATTAATATTTTTAAAGAATTATTTTATAGGACCAGCAGTTAGCATAATGGCTATGTCGCTGGACTTCCATGTAGTCAACTGCAGTTCAAGTCCCGGATCCGGTGGCTAAAAACTCACGCATGTTGCGTGCATGCCCAAGATCCCAAGAGGAGAATGGAGGAGAAGGGATTGCGGTGTGGCCATCCCCCCTGGGGGGTGATTTCTCGCTTTCTGTCTCTCTGTCTCTCTCTGTCTGTCTGGCGAGCACACGCACCCTATAGCAAAAACCTCTCCAAAAAAAGAAAAAGAATTATTTTATTTAACTTATTTATTTACTTATTTTTAAATCTGACCAGAGAGGGATGGAGAAAGAGGGCAAGAGAGAAAGTGGAAGATTTTCTTTTTCCGAATGCAGTAGTTCCAGCATAACCCGCGTACCTCGGCCTCATCTCAGGATCAAGCTTGCCTGAACACCTGCCTGCTTGAGAGACCTGGCAAACAGGCTGAGAGAATCTCTCTCTGAAGCCCTGGGTGCTGAGTCTCTATTTATTTATTTAATTATTTTATTTAATTTATTATTATTTTTTAATTTGTCATAGAGCACATGTGCTTGCCAGAGAAGAGAGAGAGAAAGAAAAACAGAGAGAAAGTGGAAGAGCAAGCTGCCAGGTCTGGGACTCAAACCGCACTTGGCCATGTGGGAGTCCAGCACTCTTAACCATACCACCTGCTGGCCCCAAGTTGTGTGTGTGTGTGTGTGTGTGTGTTTTAAGACTTTTTGCTACAGATTGCATGCTCTTAACAGAGAGACAGAGAGATAGAGACACAGAGAGATCACCCATGGGGAGATGGCTATGCCATAAGCTCTTCTCCTCCATTCTCCTTTTGTGATTTTGGGCATGCATGCACAAGCTCCTGGTATTTTTCAGACCACTGGGTCCAGAACTCAAACTGCGGAGTTGGCCATGTGGGATCTAGTGCCTTAAACACCACGCCATCTGCTGGACCTTAGCATTGCTTTTAAAACCAACAACAGAAACGACCAATAGGAGTGTCAATTATATTATGGTACATCTAAATGAAGGAATACTAGGAAACTAGTACTCGTTACAAATTTTGTAATTGAATCTCCTCATTCATATAGCTATATAAACATACACACATTAACATATATGTATACATATATACACTGTTTTGAAATGAAAATATGTCCATGTTAAGGAAAGATATGACTATAGCATCTTGTTTTAAAATGTGTATGTACATGAAAGAGAACAGGGAAAATGTGTAACACTAAATAGTTTATAGTACCTGCCTCTCTTTATGATTTTTTTGTATTTTCAGAATTTTATATACAATTATAATCTAAAATTTTATAGATTTTTTTAAAAAGCTATTTTAAAACTAAAACCTTGTCATGGTTAAAAACAGCTCCCTCAGGGCCATCAGGTGGTGTGGTGGTGAAGGCACTGGAATCTCACATGGCTGACTGTGCTTATGAGTCCTGGTCCTGGTAGCTTGCTTTCTAACTTTCCAAGTCATTCTCATTCTTTGGTGAATGCAAGTGCCCTGCAGAAAATTAGAAAAAAAAAAAAACCCTGAAAATTAAAAGTAATTTTAAAATAATTTTTTAAAAAAGAAAAGAAAAAGCTCCTTCTTCTTTTACCTGTTGTCTACCCCTAGGTGAATCATACTTGTGAATACTACACAAAAAGGCAAGCTTGGGAACCAGCAGTTAGCGTAATGGCTATGTCGCTGGACTCCCACGTAGTCGACCGTGGTTCGTGTCCCGGACCCGGTGGCTTAAAACTCACGCCGGGCGCGTGTGCGTGCGTGCCCAAGATCCCGAGAGGAGAATGGAGGAGAAGGGATTGCGGCGTGACCATCCCCCCTGGGGGGTGATTTCTCGCTTTCTGTCTCTATGTCTCTCTCTGTCTGTCTGGCGAGCGCACACGCCCTACAGTGAAAATCTCTCCAAAAAAAAAAGGCAAGCTTGCAAACAAATCCTTTGGTTACTAAACACTGTTCACTGTGTTCATCAGTGACAGTTACTTTAAAGAGGAAGCAGGAGAAATACAATTTAACTAAGCAGCTGTTTAGAAAGCCCCAAGAAAGAGAAGGGAACTATATTGATGTACACAGTGTCTGAATCTATGTTAAACATAAAGGCTGTTCTCCTAAAGCCATTTCTGCCCCTCGAGATAAAGACTAGCCGTGTGTCTTTTGTGGGCTTTGTACCATGCCTGGCATGACTCCAAGCCCCTGGAACACATTCCTGGGTCTTGCCACATTACAGCTCATAAAGTAGAAGTTCTCTCCTCACTCTTGCTGCTGCCAGCCTTGCTCCTCACATACAAATTTCCATTTTTAATGAAGAACCCAATGTCTATGTACTCTTATCCTGCCCTTCTTATACCACCTGAAAAGAGGGATGCTAAGGGACACCAGTGTTATTTCCTGTCACGTGAGTAAGAACTACTCTCTTCCAAGTAACAGAAAATAGATTATTTTGAATCATCTGTAAAGTAAATGGGGGTCAGTGGTATATGGAAGGTAATATGCATGCACAGGGCTTACACTAAGCAGAGCTGTGTTGGGATCACGAGAGTAGCATGGAATGCCCTCAGGGTTGAAGTAAACCAATAGTCTAGCAAATAGGTGTCTGTCTATCTAAACAATCAATCTGCAAATACAGAGCCAAATTATGGAAATATACTCACTATATTACAAATATAACACTATATATGGGAAACAATATTAGTGCTGAAAACAAACTAAAATCAGTTTAAGTAAATTTTTCTCATGCACGAGAGAAGACAGTGGGTCTGCAAGATTGCTCTGTGAGTATGCCTATGCAGGCAGATTGAGGCACTTCGATGGAATAAATGGCCCAGTTCTTGAACAAATATATTGTAAGACAAAAAAGGGTGGGAAGTCATGTAGATTAAAGACTCTCAAAAGACAAAGGGAAAAATAAAGGGGGAAATGAGGAATTATTGCTTAATGGTTATGGTTTCTATTCAGGGTAACAAAAAAGGTGTGGAAATACTTAGTGGTTGTGAACATGATGGTATGTAATAAACACTACCAAATCATACACATTTAAAATGGATAAAACGGCAAAGTTTATATGATATATATTTTGCCACAGATTTTTTTTTTTTAATGTTTATTTTTAGAGAGATTTTTGCTATATGGCACATGCACTCACCAGAGAGATAAAGTGAAGAAATCACGCCCTAGGCGGAATGGCCATGCCACAATCCCTTCTCCTCCATTCTTCTCTTTGGATATTGGGTACGTATGCATCAGCGCCCAGTGTGAGTTTTTATGCTGCCGGGTCCAGGACTTGAACCAGTTGGTCATGTGTGAGTCCAGTGATATAACCACAATTCCATCTGCTGTCCCTTGCCATTGTTTTTAAAAACTCATAATGTAATATGCCCAAAGTCACTGAATTTATACTTTGAGTGAATTATACACTATGTCAATTATATCTTAATAAAGTTGTTTAAAAGAAAGGAGGGGGGAGTAATTTTCCTAAACTAAATCAGATTCTTTGAATGGGGGTAAC